GTAAATAATAATCTACAGCTTCAAGGATTTCCATCACACTTTCTTCAGGGGTAAAACTTGCAGGGGAAAATACCTTAATGACAACCCCAAGCTGTTATTTCCCAGCATGAGATACACAAATACAAGTGGCCAATACTCCAGTCTATGCTAATGCCACAACTCAGTACCTTCCAAAAAAGATGGACAGTGCTGCTTGCCCAGTCCAAACCTTACAGAGGTCCCATGGATAGATACAGCCCTGGGGACCACTGGGATGCAGTAGTTACCCTTCTGGTATCCTAAAGGAGCCGCTTTCAGCCATGAACACAAGCTCTTCCCAGCTGCCATCAGCCATGGTTGTGCCCTAACGCAGCAGGTACGATCTAGCAAATGTGGTCCTATGTACATCCTAGGGAGTTCTTTCCAGATGTGCATGGAGCACACTCTGGTCCAGACAGCAGTGTGACAAACTACCCTGAGAGATAGTGATACCCACTAAGTCTTGTGGAACATGAAGTTTTGAGCCAACTCAAGAATCAGGCAGGTTTTTTTGACATTTAATTTTGGCTCCGTGGATTTTGTTTGTTTTGTAGTGCCTTCAGGATAATTTTGGATTGAAAATGGCTTTCTAGACAGATGTTTCTCCAAAAATTAACTGTATCATTCATAAATTTCTCAGCCTTCACTGAGATTAAATTTCTTTTCGAGAAGGGAAAATGTTTCCATTTTTTTCAGGAACCTACTCCCAATTTTTCCTCGTTTCCTCCTATCTGTTATAAGATATTTAACAGCCATCTTTAAAAGTGTAAAGGGAAAAAATTGTAAAAAAATTGTAAAAAATTGTGAAAAGAAATTGTGAAAACTGTAATCCCCCTGCCTTTCTTTTTAAATCAACATGAGATCAATCCTGTGAAAAACCTAGAAAACTCCAAACAATTAACACACTCACTTCATTTCCTGGTTTATAAAAGAAAAAGTTAATACAGAAAACAATGAGTATTTCACATTCAGTCCTCTGCAGCAGCTCACAAAAGCGGTCCCTCAAATCCTGATCATCAACAAAGACTGAGATCAGCCCACAATTTGGCTCAAGGCCCACAGGACCATTGTTTATGTACACCCCTCCCATCTATAGCTAAATGGGAAGCTATGGCCTTGCACTAACAGTGTTATCACCATTACTGTAAACTACTTTGGTGTTTCAGTAGAACAGAGACAGTAATGCAACAGTTTATGCACATGTGATGGATGGAAACCCAAGGTTAAATAGAATAACACAGCCATCACTCTCCAGCTTACATTAGGAACTAGAGCAGAAAAGTGAGGGAGGAAACAGAAAAGAATTATTTTTCAATCAACAGAAAAGGTCCACAAGCCTGACTGAAAAGGAGAAGAATTGAGAATATTTAGCTTTAGTACTTCATACAAAACAGTATTTCCCTACATTTTGGTTTAACAATTTTAATCTTTAAATACTTCCTGTGGGTTTTTTTGCAAAACTATGTTTTACCACTTTTCTCTCCACCTGCAGACTCATCAGAATTATAACCTTTGAAAGACATTCCAGCCCATTAACAGAATGAACACATGTAGCTGAGGTTGGTTTGTAGCCAACTGGCATGTTGCAATGCAGAGAGGTATCAAGTTAACACCTAAATTCTAGCCATCTACTCATTTCAGTCCAGATATATTAAACGTGATGTAGAGTCCTGTATCCAGATCCTAAAAAATGGCAACAAACATTGTCACCTGGCCTCATTTCTGCCTCCTGTTAGTACACAAGCACCAGAACATCTTCCCAAGCCTGCCTCCAATCTTCCTTCCACTCCTGCTGGGTCTTATAACTCAATACTCTGCAGAATAAGGTTAACATCATCAACTCAAGAAAAATGGATAAAAGTAACTCACCACTAAGTCAGCCTCCTGCCCGAAACACCACCACTCCTAAGGGCTATCCTCAACTCAGTGTGCTAGAAGATTCCTAAAGAGCTTTTTCACTACCTTTCTTCATTAACCTCCCTGTTCTAATCAGAAAGCACCGACCCACCATGCAGAAATTACTCTGATGGTATTTCCATCCAAAATTGGAAGCAGCCGTTCTGGAACACTCATAAGAAAGACCGTTCCTAGCTCAGTTATGCAGGTCTGACCCTGCATCCCCCTCTCCAAGGAACAGTCCCTAATTGCATGCATCATGTTCAGCCAAAATTTACTACTCTTACACATCCTGAATAGCACTTTACTTCACCAGCTTAACTACCAAAAGCATGACTTCTCACCGGGAATAAAGCAACTGCAACCTGACCCACTGTTGAGTTGATGTTGTACTAGGTACTGCAAGCACACTGATATTTGCCCACACTGAGATGGTGATAATTTCGTGTTTGTTTTCCTCATTTTCCCTAATGGAAATCACCAAGATCCTTCTCAGAAGGGGACAATAGTGACAAAGGTGAGTAGATGATGAAAATCATTAAAATATTTATGACAAGCTCATAGTCTGTCCAGCTAATATCTTTTTCTGCTCCATCATAGAAATGATACTATATATATTAAAAAAAAAAAAAAAGGCTTGCAGTTATACACAGAGAAAACTATGCTGTTTATAGACAACTGTGTCAGATTGAAATATGACAGACAACTGGAACACGCTTGGAACCAACGCGTGATTCAAGTGCTCACCACAGTCCCTGGTTGGCTGGCGTATACGAGCGTGCGCATGTGTGTGTGTGTGTGCGTGCACGCGTGTGCGTCTATACGTGTATGTGGTTCAGGTTTTGTTTTAAACATATCTTCTTTTACTAAACATTAAATTATTTCCCAAGAAATAAAAAGCTATGTACATTGTAATAATTATCTACAGTAGGCCTTCGGCATCCTCGCTATTCACATGCACGGGGTTTGGGCTGCATTCATAAGCTCAGGCATGCTCCTTTACTGCTTGAGGTGCTGTCCCCTCCAGCCAATCTACAGTCCAAGGAACAGTGACGCGTGTGTTTGCTCTGGTTTTGTTTTTTTTTAATCCTTTCTCAGCAGTCAACAGTGCCAGAGGGTGACTGAAATTAAAAGCAATTAAAAGAGGCAAGATCCTGCAAAAAGCTGAGACATGCATGTCATTGGAAAGCGAGGGCTTCTGGCGTGTTGCAGAGCCTGGTCCAACAACCCAGCCTGAGCCCCCTAGCAGGATGAAGTAGCTGATTCATGACATACTCTGAAAAGGGCTGAAAAGGAACAATTACCTACAACATGTTGCCTAAGGTACTATATCTACCTGTTGGATTTGAATACTTAATTCTCATTCTGTATTTAACAGGAGGCTGGCATTCAAATCCCATTGCACACTTGACTCATTCTTTGCTTTTTGTTTCTGATCTGATGAGTATTTCCTAAATACGAAGAATCCCTGCTCTTTATGAATGCAGCCCTGGTAAACAGAAAAAGCCCACCCCATCCCCTCCCAAATGATAATAATGACATATAACTCTTTCTTTTTTAATAATAATAATAATTATTATAACAATAATAATTACAAATAAAAAGTCAGAAATGTTGTAGACCAAGTGGATTCTCAGTATTAAACACTAGTGCAGTTGGGGATTTCCTTTGTGCTTTCACTGTTGGCAATTGTTGAGATGCTTCCTGTGGAGGAGAAAATGGAGACAAGAGTCAGTGCAGTGGCTTTAACAGTCTGGTCTATATTGCTTCTCACCCCTTCTTAGGAGGTGCTTGTGTAAGTGTAAAGACAGAAAAGGTGCTTAAAAGTAACACATACTTTTTTGCATTTGCAATAACCATGGAGCATGCAGAAAACCTGTTACTACAGCTCAGTCAACCAGCAGTAAACTCATTAAGCTATTAGGGACATATTCACTTGTAATGATAGCACATCAACAGCATAACCTTGGCTCAGCTGATTCGTCTGAGGATTCAGGGAATTTGGGACCCCTCCACAGGAGAGAGAGGGTCAAGAACAGACATAGGTCTAAGCCCCAGCCGTTACTAACTGCTGTACACCTATTGCTGTTTCCAGGTTCCTATTCTGGTCATGTAACACTGTAAGAAAAGCTGAAAAGCTGCAGGAAAAAACTCCCTGTAACCATGTTGCAGAGAGAGAATTTTTCGCTATCTCAGTGCCTCAGGCGCTGCTTGTACCTGGGGTCAGAGTCGCTGCCTCTCCTAATACCCCAGTGACCAACATCCTCACCCATACTGTGAAACAAACTCCAGCTGAGGGCTGTCTCTCACCCATCACTCGCGTGTCCAGCTCTTTGTCCATCAGCTCCTCAGGGTCTGTGAACTCATTCAGAGTGATTTTGGGGGCATTTTCACTTTGGCTGACAGAGCCAATCATTTCCTGCTCCTTGTCATGCTGAACTTGGGCATAGATGTTAATCCAAGGGATTTTCCTGCACAGGAAAGGAAAATGAGAGGCTGTATTTTGTAACACAGGCATCCTTGGCATGTCTTTGATTAATCAGATCAACTAAAATGAGACCAATCCCAGAAATGCAGCACTGGCAGTGATGCAAAGTATCAGCTCCCAGAATGGTGAAAGCACTACAGTGATGTTCAGCTCTGAAAGTGCCATTAGCATTCACTAATTCCAAACCAGCCTAAAGCTACCCCAAATCTCAGTCCACTGCCTTACTATCCTGTGCCCAAAAGCTCCTCCAGCTGTAAACCTAAATGTTCTGGTCCTACCCTTTTAAATGGGAAGTCGTGCACACAGTGGACACTGCACCTGGCTCAGAGAGCAGCAATCAACTAAGTACAATCAGCTGCAATTGTGAACTCTCTCAGTATTTATTACATGATCAGTGGTGCATTGGAAACCAAAAGTAAAAATCAATTTGAGCACTACTATCAACTGAGAAAAAAACTGCTAGGCTTGTTTCTATTGACAGGTCCACACTGACTCAGTAGGAATTGCCACATCAGAAAGAGTTGTAAGGAATTGGTCCTGTCTCAGAGTACAGAAAGGACTTGGACCTCATAACACCCACCCAAAGTCTATCTGTTACCATTTCATTGCAAAAACAGTTTGCCATGCTATAGATCATGCAAGTTTGCAAGGACTTATTTTCCCTTGCTGCTCAGGAAGCCAAGAAAGTGAAGGGATTATTTCTTCTTCCGTCTTCCAAGAGAAGTGAACTTGGACTGCTAGAACGATATCCTTGAAAGTCAGTTAGTTAGACAGATTGTCAGATAGGCCTAGACAGATTGTTAGAGAGTAATCCCTGGAGGAATGCAAGTTTAAAATGAGAACTGAAAAGTAATGTGTTAATCATCATGGGGGTTGCTAGGATTATCTGTGTGTAGTTGCCTGTTGGAAGGTGACTGACTGTTTTTTTCTAATGCCCTTAAAAGGACTCTGTGCCATGCAGTCCACACTGCTAAAATAAGGAAAATTCAGATAAGTTTTTCAGTTCCTTAAAGCACACAGGAGAGGGAAAGATGTGTTCAAAAGAGGCTATATAAAATGCTATCTCTTTATGCTAACCTGTCTGCTGCTGGATATGTCAGAGATTGAAAGCAGTGGAAATTGCCTCAATTCTCACAAATTCAATAGATCTATGCTAATACTACTTCGGTGAAGTTCTGGCCTCAAACGACTTGTGCTATTGGCTTGTTTTGGCATTCCATTCTCAAACAGCAGCAAGTCAGGACATATTTGGGATATTTAGCAACAGTTAACAAACCTCACGTTCTTCTCCCTTTCTCCTACCCTCTCTTTCTCACTTTGAGACATGCCTTACAGATCACTAGAAGACATAAGCACTACACAGGGAATGCACACATTGGATGAGAGAGGACAAATGCTTTCCCGTAGGATTTAAGTGCCCAGAATATTTCTGGAGGTGTGTAGAGATGTGGACATGTCAACATGCCTGGAGATATTGAAAGACATAGTTTTGCTTCCAAACAATCCAATGGTAGAAAAGCGATAGTCTTCTGAGCTTTGAGAGGAAAGGCAAGAAAAGCTCTTTAGAGTTGTGAGGCAGAGAGCCTCCAGGTACTTCAGAGAGTCAGGGAAAAAAGAAACTGAGACTGTACATATGTGCATCCATACACACATACCTAACCAGCTGTGCCTCCCGGCACAGACGCAAGTGGCCACAACATCCCATCACACATCTCTGAGCATATGTGCACGCACATACACTCCTGCTCTCCTGTCCTAGGACACATACACACTAACTGCCCCCCTATTACTCACCACCCATACACATATAGCATTAACCTGCTTATATGCTCGATCTCCCAGAAAAGAAACAACTTTTTTACAGATTATTTCCCTACTTTTCCCTTTTCCTTCCTTTTCCACCCAGACCTCCTCAAGAAGCATCTCTCTAGCAGCAGTATTTAACATGTCTGCTGAGTCTATGACTTGATGGACTCATAATAAGGAGTCTGTGTGCAAACCAGCAAAGTACCAATTCTATGAAGTTGTAGAATTAAAAATTCATGTAGGCCCATACTCTCCCCACAACCTTTTTATGTAAGCAGCAGTTCTGTATTCAGGTTGGGATCACTGTTAATCAGAAAAGTACATATGGCTAATGGACCTCTGATTCACTGAGAGCTAGAGGAAAGCTTTTGTTTTCACCTCCTTTTTCCATTAAGAATTGTTCCATGCTCTCACTTCTCATCCATTGAGCCAGAGGTTTTAGACAGAGCTGAAAAGTGGCTTTCTGTTCTAAAAAAACAAGCTGAGGACACTCTGGGTATCTGACAACCCTAAACTTTTTCAGTTTGAGCTGAGTCTTTGGGACAGAGCACATAAGAGGGGAAAGGGAAAGCAAGTTGATGAGCTTTGGGCTAAGCAAAACCGATGCTTTAACCACTTTCCCTCTCACTCCCAATTTGTAATATATTCAATTTTCAGAAAGGTTTTAACAAGACAGGGTCTTCCCAGCCTTGGAGTGCAGCACAAGGCTGATGGCTGCTATTCTCAAGGCTCAGGATGCTTAAGTAGTACAACAGTCAGCATTATGAGCTGTAGTAGATTACCAAGCTCCTCATTGCTCTCTGGCAGCCAGAATATACAGATCCTTCTTCGAAGAAAGATCCTTCTTCGAAGACAGATCGCTCACCACAGAGCCAAAGGCATTAGGCCAAACCTAAGAAACCAGCTCACCAAGACACAAAGGAAAGCACATCTGAAAAAGGGTTGCACCTATATCTTGACACATCTGCTAGAGAGACTTCTTTGCTCTCACTCATCTGGGAGTGAGAGAAATCATTGGCTGCGTCCCCAGCACATTATTAAATCAATGTCTTAAACAAGTCCCATGTCCCATTCACCTGAGAATCTGTATTCCACCTCACAAAAGCAGAGAGAAGATTTTAGACTGCAACAAGCAAGTCACACTGAAGGCCTGGAAATCTGCACCTGAGCAGGTTCACACATATGGGTTCTCTGGAAATTGTCCTGGGCCACTGAAGTCAGTGGGAGCTTGGTAACAGATCTTGATGTGTACAGGATCAAGCACTAGAAGCAGTGCCACTCACTGATTTTGACAATAGTTAATGCAAGAGGTTAGAAATTGGTGGAGCTTTAAACGTGGAGACTAGGATATGTGCCTGTCTAATCATCCCATTTTTAATATTGTTTGTATCCCACTAGTATCATTAGAGAGTACTAGCCTTGTCTTGGGCTGCAGGAAAGCTGGAGAGATAAACGTATAGCTGGAATCAGAACAGGAAAAGCTCTAGTTTCCCAATTTGTGTGTGTGTGTCTGTTTTTTGGGGTTTTGTTGGTTTTTTGGGTTTGTTTAAGACAGACTCAGTTTATGCCTCTAATATGATATTTTGCCACTGGGCAGGATCTGGGCACATAGACTATTTAACACAGTAAGGACTGTACTGAATGCAAAGTTCCTCCTAAGGAAGCTCCTAAAATATATTCTCATAAGGCAGTCCTTCAGCAAACAGGCCATTCTTATCCTATATTTTGTTTCACAGCTTGCAGCAGCAAAGTGTCATAGGCCAGCACAGGTCCTGACTGCTGCCTGGAAGCAAAAGGTTTATATTAACATCTGGCATAGGCAATCTCAGCACAGATTCCCAAAGGCATTTTGATGCTTAACACAAAATTTTCTGGCTTTGAGTCTCCCACCCTTAACATAATCACACCTGTTCCTCTGCAAGACTAAATTATTCACTTTGCAAGATACAGATGAGATACTGCTGCACTAAGGCAGTTGGCCAGGTGGATACAGACTGTATGAAGACATCCATCATGTGATTTTTTGACTAAGTCTGCATTGTGTAGCTCAATGAGCACACAGGGTTTCCATTTCTGGTCTGTGGTTCAAACACATCTGCTGAAGCAGGTCACAGTTTGTGGTGGAAGGACAGTAGATGGTCTTCTCTCTATATATGAGAAATAGGGAACTATACTGGTCTAAGCCTTAGGCCAGCATAACTCGCTCTACATCTGCAGTCCAGGCACCACCCTGCCTAGATTTCTTGTAAACCACACAGTGTCTCCTCCTCCCATCCCCCAAATTTTCTCAACTTACCTCTTGAATTTGTAGATTAAAAAAACAGCCAAGCCTACAAACACCACAGACAACAACATCAGCATCGCCGAACTGCTATGACCCGTGCTGGAATCAACAAGGGGTGCTGCAGGAAGAAGGGCAGAGCATTACCTTTGCAAGATATTATTAGAGAACATGTAACTACCAGAGAGTTGTGCTCAAGTCTGTCTTTGCCACATGTGCTTTATTACCACTGCATGGTGCATGCTGTTTTCAGCAAGACCAATCAGTAGGAAACAAATTGACTCTCTTGTCCTTTGAAAGCCAAGTTTCTTTTTCAAGACAGTGCAGTCTAACATCTCCTAGTGAAAAGGCACAGCAAGCCATGCTTAGCTGATCACTCCTGTGTTAACACTTTGGGCTGTTTCTTTTCAGGCTTTTCCAGGGATTGGAGTGGAAATTAAATTCATGAAGTGTGGCTTAATGCATATCTATTCCCCTTTGGAGAAGCTAGCACAGAGCATCCATGAACAGCCTGACTCCCATCTTCCAAGGACATATGTCTGTCTCACATGTGACAGGGATCTGATCCTGTGAGAAGTCTCAAGGTTCATCCTTGTATTGGACCTTACAGACTTTTTAATTGAGTCAGTTTTCATAATGTGGAGGAGCCCAAAGCAATAATCCTGGACCCAAGCATGTACTACATTACAATATTTTGGAGATTTGATCCATCTATCCTTGACATTTTTGGTGGGCTAAATAAAGTGTATTACTATACCTTGTTTATGCAGCTATTCCCACAGCTCATTGGAGCAGACCATCTTAATGGCCTGCGCACTGCACTGAGAATCAAGAGTCTGATGAGAAATCTCTAATGATGCACAAATGATTATAAGTAGCAGCTGAGTATCTCTCACTCTGCATAAATATTTGGTTTTGGTTTTGGTTTTTTACTGTTCTCAATTCTTTTTATGTCACCGAGAAGACACGGGCAAAGTCTATGCAAATAGAGCCACTTATAGTTCCATTGCCAAATTTTCACACCTAAGAGTGTGATACTGCCAGTATTCTGCTTCTATTACTTCTACAGACTCTTTCGTGGAAAGGAATTGACTGTCATTTTACCTGAGTCAAAATATTATGGGAATGGTCATGAAACAAATGCAGCACCCCACTGCAGGGGTGTGCAAGAATAGTTGAGCACTGTAAGCTAAATCCATGCTTCACAGTGTCTTACTAGAACCCAGATTCTGAACCTGGAGACTGCAGATATTTGGATCTCATTCACAGTTTTGCAAATTAATTCATTTGAGCCTACTTCTATTAACAGCTGACTCTCATCCCCAAACAACAGTCAGAGAGTGAAGGCAAAAAGGCATTACCTGTAGGATAGGTCACAAGCCTTGGTTTAGCCCAGCTCTTGGCTCTCTGAGAGTCTCATGTAAAAAGAAGCTGAAGTGTATTATCGTGGCACATGAATCCCAATCTTTTGGAGGGGCTATCAGCAATGTCACAAGCACAAGATCTCACATTTCAGATAATTGCAAGGGCAGTCACAAAAAGCAAGGGCAAAAATAAATGCATCATCTCCTCTGTAGTCATCACTGTCTCAGCAATAGCTGAGAGCTTCACACTAGGCTGGCCAAAATTCTCAGAAGTAGCTGAGAGCTTCACACTAGGGTGGTTTAAAGCAAAGAGGGTGATGAAGCTTAAAGTGACTATTCATTACGCTGTGCAAAAATGGAGATAGGTAACATGGAAATTTAAATACGGTCTAATTTGCAGAAGTCTATATTCAGGCACGTATTCCCTGAAAGAGGCCTAGGTATTCTCTTCATGAGTACTTTTCCCCTATAAAGCCTCTTGGCTAGTCATAACATTAACAAGCCCTTTGCAATAAGGATTTGATCCAATATCCATGAAAGTTAGTAATACTCACACTGAATTCCACAGGTGCCCAATGAGGGCTTAATAGAACACCATTCACCTGATTTTCAAAAACATCAATGCATCAGTTAATTAAGCCATAGGGAACTTCAAAAGGTACTTTTAATACTTGTACAAACTGGTGCATGAAGATGCCACTGCTGGATTCTGTTTTTAACACTTCCTGCTTCTACCACAATGTCTCAATACGATCAGTCCTACGTATCCCAGCAGCACATACCAAACGGTGAGTGTTCTGATGTAGACTGGTTCTCCTGCAGTTGTCTGAAGCCTCAAGAGAACCATAGCTATGCATTTGACTGCACACTCACCTAATGTTAACTGAGTAACATATACAATGACTTCAACACCAGGCTTCAGTTCAAACTGGACCAGGTTCTGGCTGAGAGCATTAAAAAGGATTTCTACCACCTGATGAAATAATAATAAATACAGTAGTTACAATATAGAAGACAGCAAGCTCTGGAGAACATTCAGGAATGCATGAAGCCTATGAATGGTGACTAACATCTATTACTGGCTTCAGGAAGAGAAGGGAAGTGAGAGACTGAGGCAGCGGAGAGAAACATGCACATGTGCTTTAGATGGAACTGAGTGTTACTGCATGCAAGTCTCCCTACAGGACTCTTGAGACTCACAGAATATGTTATTATACCTCTCCTGGGAAGCAAACCAAGGAAGTTAGCATTTTTTTTTCTTTTTTTTGGGGGTATAGGGGAGGAGGGGGAAAAAACCACTACCCTCCACAATGTCCTGTGAGTTTGGTCTAACGCACTTGGAAATCACTAACATATTGGCCTTTCATTGGTGGATGATGGAACTGAGCTAGCTAGTCCAGCCTAATAACACTTCTTTACTCATACTGATTCAGGACAATCCTAGTCACGTATCTCCTGTTGAAATAGGCTGTTGGGGATGAGACAATCCAGTTTTGAAGGTTAATGGCAAACTTGCCATATTTCTCCTTCATTTAGAAGGGGAGCCTTGGACTGGAGTTTACTCATGGCTCAGCAACCCAGCTATGAAGTGTTACTTGGTTGCCTTAGAGTACGTACGTGGCATGTCACAGTGGAGCCCGAGTTTCTTAATGCCTGGTCTCCCTAGAGTAGTTCTGATGGTCAGGGCACAGTTATTGAGCAGTTCTGATGGCCTACTCTCCAGGGCAGAGCTCCTCAAGCAGAAGCCAACACCAGGTGACAAAGTACAACTGAGTAGACTGTGAAATAAAATTAGAGCACTGGAGCTTCAGGCTGCATGATCAGCTAGTCAGAAACCTAATCTGAGATGTCTGCATAATACTGATATATGAAATATTGACACAACAGCTTGTTCAGAGGGAATTCTAATATGGGTAGATCCTACTGAACAGGATGGAAATGACTCCAAGAAAATCCCTCCAAAAAGCCTTCTAAACCTTCCTACCACAGTGCATCTCCTCTGCACACTCGCCACCATAAAGTTAAGAGGCCAGCTTTGCTAGCTTCTTAGGATAAATGTACTACTATGAGGGGACTGACTTTGCTCAGTGGGTGACAAGAGCTGCCACAGAATTCAGCATTCCTCTGAGTTATTTAATGTTTGATCACAGAAGAGTTCTCCAAGAGTTACTTGGAGATGGGCTCACACATAGCTTGCATGCAGTAAAAATGTTGCATATGGAAACACAAGCTAGAGCTAAGCAGCCTTTCCAGCAGTACTTCACTCCTTTGCCTTTATAGAGCTGATTTAATCACTTGGTAATTCTAGCATGAAAGCTTCAGCAGACTAGCACTGTTGTTCCTAGCTCTTCCCTTGCCTGCATATCACTGTTGCTATTCATCATTGTAATTACCTATTTATCTAAATGGATGGATATTGTAACTTCCAAATATAGTTTGCACACGCCATTCGCTGCTGCAGGAAAAAAGAGGTCTTGTTCCAGTGATATACGAGCTGAAGAGCCTGATTTATTTTTAGTAAACCTCAGTATATTATCTTGCTGCTCTGGCCTCTGTCTATTAGCATTCCTCCAGGGAGTAAAGGGAGTACATATTCAAGGTTCCTTTGGCCATAACTACTGTAATAAGGACACACCACTGATCTGGGAAGAACAACTGCTGGTAGACAGCAGTGAGGTATTAGAAAAGCCTGTTTTTCCTCTGAAAATCATTTTCTTTAATGCCATAAACTATGCTGCCACAGTCCCAGATGCGTCCAATTCCATCACACTTACAATAAGTCATTTCCAATGCTGCAAAAGCTAAGGGACCCATCTGCAAATGGTATGATAGGAATGAATGTTCCACAAATCCTTCTTTCCTTACTTGCTCCAGATCAGCCTCACTGCTTTTCCTCCTCTCTGTTGTGTTTTTATGGGGAAGTATGAAGAGTTCAGCAGAAGTAGGCAGCCCAGGAAAAACAGCTACCAAGATCTGTTCATCAGGGATACCAGTCACCTAAAAGAAAAAGTAAAAAGGAGGTCTCTAGCTGCTATTTTGTTACTGGTGTTTCCATTCACTACAGCAAACTGTGCTCCCATCAAATTGTTATTTGCCAGTTCCACTCTAGATGTTGTGGTCCTAATGAGCTGTTCTGTCCATTTGGTGGGTCAGAAATAGAGGTTCTGCTAATGATTCACTCCATTTCTACAAGTAAATGTAGGTTTGACAACAACCCTGGACCCAAAGGTCTCAACACAAAGTCCAAACCTATCAGTCTCCAGATCTGAATTTTCCATACAGTCCTTTCTGCTACAAAAGAATGACCCAAAGTCAGATCCAGAGAGTCTAGCTCTCTCTGGTAACTGTACAACTAACAGGGATGTATGAAGAAAATTGCCTGCAATCACCTTCTAAAATCAGGTTATGGGGAACCACATTTGCCATACATGAATAACTTAATGTCTCCAGTGGGAGTTTTTTTACTACTGGGGGTGATCAGGAGTGCTGTGCTAGGAACTGCTCAGCTTGCTGAACCAAGAGTCAGTTCCACACCTGATTCTCACAACGGTCTTCAGCATGACCTGCCCACTGAGGCTCCTCTCTCCCCAAATCCAAGCTGTGCATCCTCAGTAGAGCAGGAACCCTCTCCCCCCTCAGAAACTCTCTGCTATATGAGGCTAACCCCATTAGCTCCCTGGTCCTACCCCATCTCAAGCTCTTTGGCCTCATTCCTGAACTGAAATGTGTCTAATGGCTCAGCCCATTCCTGGTGATCCATCCTATAAGCACAGACCACATGCTGCAACCAGGTAGTCACAAAAGGATATGCAAGCAAGCACATCTGCATGACTTCTACTGTTGTCTGTAACCGTTCATAGTTAAAACCTAATTAATTTCTTTTTTCTAAGCTTGACTCTGAATACAGTAAAAGGGAACAACAGTTTAAACAAATGAACTTAGTGTTTTCTCAGGATGGGAAAATAATCAAGGAAACTCTTATAAACTGCGAATTTTGAGTGGGCTGCAGATGAGAAAAGCTGAAAAGGAATGTACTTTCCCTGTAAAAATAATCAGCCTCCATTTCTAAGAACAGCTGTAGCTGAAGCAAAAAAAAAAAACCAAGATACATTTTTGGCAGACTGTAAAAACCACAAAAGCTTGCCTAAATTTATCTCCTGATTTCACACAAAACCAAAGTCCCTGGCTATTTGACATCATAAATTATTCTGCCCCCTTTCCTGCAAGAATATGAGTGCTAGTTTACATACTCTAATTAATCCCAAAGGAAGACCGAGTATCTTCCACCCACCGAAGTCTCTCTCTGTCCGGTATTTTAAAGGTAAGTTTATTTTCCCTCTGAATCCTCATTTTTTGCCCCAGTTGGAAAGGGAGTAGACTTTTATAACGTTCACCAGTTGCTACACTTAGCTGCATTGGAAGACTGAGTATCAGGAAGAGGTAAAAATATCTTCCTCATGTATCTAACATACTACAATGTCTGTCCTCTGGGATGAAGTAGATCAGCTGTTTAACAACACACAGTAACATTACTCAAATGTTTGGAGTAGAAAACAGTAGATACTGTAATATCCATTCGGCAAAATAAGAACAATAATGGTACTATTACAATCTAGAATTTGTAAAGTCCTCAGGGATATTAAAAGCTGAAAAGCACCACAGAAACATTAATAAACGTAATTATAATATTTCCACAAAATTCCCAATATAGTTTGCCTCTGTAAAAAGATCCAGCATATTAAGAAGCTTTTTATCGATTTAAAATGATAGCTTCATTACTGCTGTTCTTTCCCATTCTTTTAAGTTAGCATGTTGAAAAAGTGCATGTTTTAACAGCCTAGTCAATGTTAGTACAGATGAGGAAATAGATGCTCACCTGCGCTAGAGCTCTCTTGATGACTTTGCCAATGTCTTGTCTCCATTCAGGGATATCAGGGTTATGATAGTCCAAGTTGGGAGAAAATGACAGGAGCTGAGATTGGAAATACTCTGGAATAGAAAAACAGTATGTATGAGAAGATTAAATGGGCAGTGATCAGGGTACAGCAGACAACAGGAAGACCATAATTAAATTATCTTAAAGCAAGAGAGAGAGGAAAGGCTGAAGTAAGAAAAAGGGCTGGCTAACACCAAGCAGGACAGAAAGCTTGCAAGGAAAGAATTCTTATAAAGGTTCTTATAAATAACATTTTGCCCTAATGCCAATTTGTGGCTTTTCCCAGAAGAAAGAATGATGGAGGTGAGAGGATGCCTTCCCTTCATGATGCCTCTGGGCTTTGTAATTTTGCCACTCAACTTCATTGGATTCTGCTTACAAGGAAGTTGACCAGTAAATAAGGCAGCACTTGGCTGAAATTTGGAAGGTTTGTGCAATTGCATGCATTGTGCTCTGCAGAACAAACATTTACTGTAAGTAATGTTTTCAAAAGCAGGTATTACCTGTTTGCTCTCCTGGAGGGAAGCCACGAGTGGTTAATACCCCAACAACTCAGAACTCAGTGGTGCTAATGACTGGCTAATCAAGCAATGGCTATTCATGAAACACACTGAAATTACTTCCTAATTGACTGATTGCAGGGAGGAAGAAAAACTTCCTAGACTTCAAATACAGAACAATTTAAATTTTTATCCAACTCTCCCCTCTGGTGTCACCAGAGAGACCAAGCCTGGAATCCTTATGACAACTGTGCACAATGGATTTGGGCCAGTGGGAGGCACCAATCCAGGATGGGATACACACTCAGATATAAGTTCTCAGGGTGGAAGACTCCCCTTTCTGTTTTTGGAGATGTGCTGTGCCTCACCTTGAAGCACCTGATCTCCAGACACTTCAAATCAGTACCATTAATCATTTGTAAAAAGATATCAGTTTTAGATCAAGATAAACCAGCAAGAGTATAAATGAGGAAATCCACAGAACAGCAGAGATATGCCAGCACAGCATTTTTGTTGCATCTTTTGCAAAATCTGTTCTTTCTTTTTAGATGGTGCAGTGTATTTTAAAATAAAACAAGCATCAAAGAGAGCAGGGAAAATCTCTCAAGTTTTGAAGGCTTAACTGAGAGCCTGATATATAAAGCCTTTGACTTTTGAACCCTCTGTACCATGACCAATTTATTTTTTGAGTAAATTCTGGTCCGTTAATCACAATTTGAGAAAACTCTGAATAAATCTCCTCCACTGCTAACATCAGAAAGCTATGCCTTCCTGCCTAGAGCCATAACAACTTAACACAGGAGACAGATTAGGATACGAACTTAGCAGAACGCAACGCATGTTTACCAATGGTGTCACTTGTTTATGTACTCAGACTTGAACTGATCAACAGACCGGGGGTCTGAAAGAACTCCTTCCTTAGACCAGGTCAGTCTGCAGCACGGCAATGCATAGGACAATTTGGACATTCCAACTGGATCAGTTTCTCTTTGTGATAAAGCCCAAAGCTTTGGATCTCTTAAACAGAATGGCAAAATTTCTTACAAGGTGTTTAAAAACAGAGAGTGAGGAGCACTCTGTGGGACCTACCAGGACCTTTACTTCATAACTACAAAGATGGAGATCACCTGCAGGGATCCCTCTCAGATATGCTCAATTCAGGTTTATTCCAGAAACTAGTGGAAAGATGCAAGTTTCACAGTTGTAAACACTGCATTTTAGAATGCTCAAAATGATCAAGTAGAAAGTTACTTGCATTTGCTCATAGCGAGTTTGAGTATTACTAAATCATATTAACAAATTATTAAACCCCACTGCATTTCACAGCCAGGTAATCAATAAATATCTATTTAGCTGGTTGTTAAATCTGAACATATACCTTTCCAGTCACCAGCAGGACATTTATTTATCTTTTAATTACTGAACCAAGACACATAGTTCAACCACACAGTACAACTTCAGTTATTTGAAGCCCAGGTCTCTCAATAAAACTTGCTATCCAAAGAAAAGCTTGCCCTCAAAGGCTGGATGCCAATAACTGGATAAGGAAAATGAAGACTAGCCCAGGATGAAATTTCTGGAGAAATCTCAAAGTCTTGGCCAAAATCACCGAGAGAGCCCTTCCAGTCAGCCTCTACCAGGCCCCAAACTGGGTAAGCTCTGCGGTCTTCCAAAGGGTGCTTTGCGGAGCCCATGATGTGCAGGTATGGCAAGAACATACCAAACATTACCCAGAGGGAAGCCAGTGAACATGCCCAGACCTCCAGCTGTGGCATGGAAGATGGGCAGAGATACCACCAACAAAGTTATTTCTACCTCCTGTTTTCCAGACCCCTGCAGTTTACATCAGCTGTAATGATGCACTATGACTACTTCTTTCCATAGCTAGGAAGCAGAGGGAAGGCAGTCTGGCTACAGCTCTAAGAGTTTTTTATTTTGGGAGTTCCCAGTCAGGGTGTACAGACAGACTAACAGGCAAAGGAGACACCAGCCACTTTACTACAGTGCTGAGCTTACAAATATGGCTAGCTGACCCAACCCAATTCACTTCTGTATTTTGTGATCATGACTCATCTGATCTATGTTGTTTGCAGTTTGTTTTCAGAGGTTCCTCCTGGCACTAGGGAGTTCAGAGAGTTCATTGTGGTTTAGCAGTGACTGTCCGTTCTTCACGTCTAGATAGCTCGGGAGATCTGATTGTAAAAGGCCAAGGGTACCATGCACTGCGATCTCCTTGGTGTCTTGGATGAGGGTGCTGCCCGCAGAAACCTGCACAGTGACAGTATTCATCCCCTCCATGGCGAAGATGTATGAGATGCTGCTCTCCAAGGTGATGAGGGGCTACAAGAGATAAACACAGACGGTGGTATCAAAATCAGGGTGAGATTAACTCAGGATCACAACATACACCTGACTAATCCACCAGGCCACGATATCCTTCATCCCTGATACAGGAATGGTGCTCCGAGCTTGCATGTCCTGCTAAGGCCTAAATGTGGCCCAAACACCACCCAATGAGAACTGTCTCATAGGCAAAAATTTCTCTCACTTCATTAAATGCTTCCTGGAACACTCTTACACTGAACTACAACCCATTATGCTATGAATACCTCAGTAGAGCAGTCAGCAATTGCAGAATTAGCGCTGCAGAATGCGGTGTTGTACACACACACACACATGCACACTCAGCACAGTTGCTATATCAGCTGTACAAAACACAGGGTTCAACTCAAACCAGCATTTGAACATAAACTAAAGACGCAGATGCTTCTTCAAAGATCCCATATTGTTCAGATTTAGGGCAAGCTGTTGCCATATGAGCACAAATCCATCCATCCATCTATCTCAGAGCAACTTTGCTCAGGACAGAGTGAGGGCCCCCAGCATTGCCCTGTCCATGTTTCAACCCTGTAAGCTAGCTCCAACCACACACTGGCAAACCATGCTAGCAAGACTGAAAGCACAGCACAATACCTGTTGACAGTGCTGTCTGAATGTGGCTGAAAAGTTTCCAGAGTACAGCTGATCTGCATTTAGCCAGCTCAGAGCTCTGGCTGAGAAGACTGGTTTTATCTGCACCTTCTTAAACACAAATGTCCTCGATAGCACTACAGCTCTCCTATTTGCACAGGAAAATCTCACACTGATACAAATCTAGATGAGAAAAGTGCACTTTGCTCGGGAAAAGAGATTTGCATATGGGAAATCAAAGGTCTAGCCCTTGCAGTGCCATCGATATGACAGCTGGTCTATAGACAAATCTCCTGGTTTAGATTAAACCATTAAAATGGACATAGTGATACTACCCTCCATTGAAAAAGCACAAGGAGGTCTGACCACAGGTAAAACCATTGCACCATTGCTACTGTCCCTTCACCACACTGCCAGTTTGTTTCCAAAAACCTCTAAAAATTCACCTTCCAGCTCCCAAGCTTCATCCCATCAGACTGCCAACTTGCTTACATTTCACAACAGTGGCCATATATTCAATTTTCATAGCCAAATCAAAATTTCTACTGGCATAGGCCAGACTGGCAAACACATTCCCCCTTTGCCCCCCCATCTTCTTTTGATCTCCTCATACATGAGCTAAAAAAGCAACAGAAAAAAAAAAAAAGTCTGTTTGATCACAGGGAACTCACAGACCAAGTCAGCAAGGGTGCCAGCTTGTGCTAGCCCTGGAGGCCTAGCTAACATATACTTAGATATACACACATCCTGGACAAGCAGACTGGGCCTACATCAAACTGAAGTGGTATTAGCAATCTTCCTGAAGGTTACAGGTTGAGATTCTGTGTAAAGGTAGATAAGAAGCAGCAATCTGGCCTTTAAAATCACCATTTTTTCCTTTTTGTATGTGTGTATGCTAGACATTCCATTATCATGGATGATTTCACCTCCATCATGGAATTTTAACATTCAGCCAACTCCTTAATTTTAATTCAAGCACCAAGACCTGGAAACTAACTCTAAATTAAATCAAGTAGTTTAAGGTTCATTTGCTCAAACCTATTAGACAGTTGGACACATTTATTAAACTGGACCTGTGTTAATCCAAGCAAATTGGCCTTTAGGTATACCACAGAAATTAGCACAGTAGAAATTCAGTACAATGGTTCCAGCATGGTGGGGAGGGCAGCAGAAGACCCTCAGCCAGGTCATTTGAGTCTAAGACAACATTCACCTGTGCAGCAGCACAGAGAGTACCTTAGTGAGACTGCACAGTGACACAAGACACATCTGGTTCTGCCTGGGATGCCTACAGGCTGAACAGGAAAAGCTGCAATCCCTCAGCACGGAACCAGAATATATCACCCAACAATACTGTCAGTATGTATCACACACCTCATCCTGTTATTCACACACAAATCAGTGTCCCCACCTTCCACCTGTACTAAGAGCACCACAGTTTCCCCGTGAATGGGCAAACAGAAGGATCCAACATGTACATTAAACATCCCAGAAGGAATTTTGATGTGATGCAGGCTGTTATACTGAAAAAAAGGTGGCTGCTGCTGTTATGTCTATATCCTTTGCCCTACTTCTGTCAGAGTTGAAGTACATTTCATGAGGTAGCTGGAGATAACATTTTGCAAAGAATGAAAGGTGCTCTGGGTCTTTGATTTGGCCACAGTAAGTGGCACTATCTTTATTAATCCACACCTCAACATATTTCGGCAACATGAACAATCACCCCAAGGTATCATCAGGATCAGCTATTCCATGTACAGCAATGTCCAAAGCAGCCATCCCAAACACATCCATATCTGCTTGTACTCTGTTGCCTATGGCCCTGAAATTTGAGCTAGAAGATAAAACTGAAAACAGATCATATTTACAATCCAGATACAAGCACCATGAGAGCTGCACGGAAATCTTCAGCAAACATCACTGGTTTCAAAACATCTTTTTTTTAAGGCCCTATTCACAACCAACTTCTATATTAATGACAAAAGCAATGGCAGAAAAACTCTGACACTTGAGTACACTGGAGAGCTTAAGCAGATGATCAAGTAACCAGTACCTAAATTGTCTCAGATGTATTTTAATGGCTGTCCACGTGTGAGCACTGAGCCAAAAATATCTGAACTGTAATGTGATTCTGCATCCCCCTCTTTCAGAGTGGTATAAACTACGTGGAATTACCTAGTACTTGTCATGGACTAGATGTGTGTATGTGGGTGGTTGCCACAGCTCAGCTAGGGCACAGGAACTTGCCAAGTTATAGTAAGTGGTTTTTATCCCTGAGCTCTTCTAGTACCTCAATTATGCTTCCACAAGAACAGGTGAGTTCTTACAGTGAGCTTCCTAACTTGATGTAAAATCCAGTAGATACAGCATTTACTGTTGGGGTTTTTTTTTTTCCCCCTCCTGCTACTGTCAGTAGCTAGGGTAAGAGGTTAAAATGCAAGCAGCTTTGTCAAAGAGAAAATAAAACACTTGTGCGTGCGCTATTTCTTATCTCAAGTTCCATAGTTCATGTAAAATCCCCTTTTTTTCTAATGTGAGCTCACCTCAGTGCCCACCTTGAATTGCAATTCAATAATGTAGACGATGATGTGACTTAAACTGCTTTTGATAAATAACAGCAGATACTACATTGCAAAATTATCAGTTGTACATTTCACAACTGTAATAATGGAGGATAGTGCCTATGTGTCAGCTGTCTCACTCCTAAAGCCTGCAATAAAAACTGCAGCTAATAAGCAATCCTGCTCTCTCCATTTGAAAGCATGGCTGCAACTTGCAGTTTCACTTACTTTAATTATTGATAAAAAATGTCTTTATAATAATTTTTTGCCGATCATTTGAAAATTCACTACAAAGAAGTCTCATGCCTCTCTCTAATATATCCAAGACTGTGAAAAATGGTCACAGATGGACACAAACAATTCACCGAGAGTCTAGCTTGAAATTCTAGATACAACTGGTTATTTGAACACCAACAGCTTTAAAGTATTGTGTTGGAATCCAGCATTATATATTGCATACTGGTACATAATGGAAACCCCCATGCTTATTTGAACACCAACAGTTTTTAAATACTGTCTTGAAAGCCAGTATTATCCCATATATAGTGGTATATAATTCTCAGTTAAGTTAGAAGTGAACACTGTTAATAACAGTGGTCTTCAAAGCTCAGTAGGGCTGATAACAACCAAATGTAAAAAAGTAATGACTCCTAAGAACAACACAAGACAGGAGAAAATAAACTCACAAAGGTTGAAGTTCAGATAATGACAACCCTTTTTAGATAAGGAAAAAACCTAAAACACAAAACAAGCAAAGGCAAGAAGTTTTATTAGGGCTGAGAAAGTTCCCTGTCTGGTGCAAGCTTAGGATGTAAAAATGAACCAAAGGGCAGCTGTACCTTGGTGCTGTTACCAAACCACCAGAAGTAGGTAAGCGTGCCTGCCTGGCTGGGCCAAACTACTGCAGTAATGTTGACATCTTTATTTCTGATGGCGACAAAGGGGACACTCAGATGGACGTGCTCCACTGGACCTGTGGGAGGAGAGAATTCATTATTAGAGGCTTTGAGTTAAATCCTCTCTGTGCAGTTGTGAACAGCAAGGATCTTTCCCTTAAATAAATCAAATGTCTTGTATCGGCAGCAAGTCTCTATTACGGCAATAAGGAGAATTTCAGCAGTCAACAAGCAACAGAAAAAGGTATCAGATTAATAAACATAAAATCATTTTTTTTTTTTCTCACTCTTAATTCTAAAGGAGCAAAAAATACACATTTTCCACACTGCTAACTTCAGACAGGGTCAGCACTGTGTTTAGAAGAATTTTTTAAATGCAGTTTGAGGGAAAACAATGCTTTGCACTGGATAGGGCAAGCTGCTATTGAATGCTTGAGAGATAGGACACAAGAGAGAAAGAAGGTGTTTTCTTGAAAATATATCCATTCAGCTACCAACATTTGTGGGAAAATCATTTTAGCCAAGCTGGCTTAAATCTGATTATAAATGAGGCATTTATGACTTGATTAAATACACCCTGACAGTTCTTTAGAAGGTCTCCAAAAGAAAGATTCATGATTTTGGAAATCCTTGGTATATTTTTGCCTTTGGCCTGACCTTGAGAAGTCTTTGGGCAGTCAGTTACCACTAGCAAAAAGTCAGGACCTACTTGAAAGATGTGTGCACTGGGATATTAAAGCATTTAACTGTCAGAAGAACTTGTTTCTGAAAGACTTAAAAAAATAATAAAGTATCAATGCAAAGTTGTGTCTAATAAATGCAAATGTCCCAAATAAGTGCAGTGCATGAAGTTCAGCATAAAGAAGCCAGCTCCCTTCCAGAAAAAACATGTAAAAAATACTGAGGTCTTCTTTGTTTAAAGCTTTTGTTTAAAGCTTTTACTATCTCCATTGTTTTCCTTCTTGTTTATTTTTTTGTTTTTACTGGCGCTGAATTTCAGCTGATAACTGCTGCACATCAGACAGTGTTACTGAGTCTTTCGGGATGGTACCTTTTAAACCACAGCAAACGGATAGACTATCACTGTGAGAAGGAAAGGATGAAATAAGAAAGAAGTGAGACTTTTCTCTTTTTTTTAATAAGACATTAATTCTGGGAAGCAGGAAATTTGCTGATATTAACTGAGACGATCTTCTTGTGTTACCTCTCAGCTCTTCAAGCACAAAATGGGGACATTAATCAACTTCTACACCTATGTGGATTACAAGGATTTTGGAGAGCACGAGCTGTTCTTTTACCACCAGAACATTCAGCTTCAAGCACAATGGGACATGATTCTTGCTTTTGGCTTCTTAAAACTTGCTCTTTTTTGTTCCCCCTTTCCCAACAGGTCTCTAGCAGCAAGTCACTTCTGAAATTTGCCCACAGCAAGTACTCTGGGTTCCCAATAACAAGTTCCCCCAAATATTTTGTGACAGTGCATGTAAGAGGAAAAACTAGGATCTTCACTTCCTTTAAATGAAGAGATGAGCAGTTTGACAGCAGATTCCAGAAAGGTAAAAAGTTGACTGACCACTGATAAAGCTGCAGAGTAGAAAACTACTGCTGCTTGAGGCCAAGGAGCTTCTTTCTCCTTTTTCTTCAGCACAGGATTTCAGCACCAGACAGATCGTATAATAAGCTTGATTTATATCACAGGCATTTTTGTCTGTACATTTGAGCTTCAAGGTCAAACCTTCTATATTGACAAGTACATCCAAATATATTAAAAGTCTAGTACTGAGGTATCATCTTATTTCAGTGTTAGCATGAATATACACGCTTGCAAAATATTTCCCTAGAGATAATGATAATAAGTTGGTCTCCTAAGAATGCTATAGAAGTCAAAGGAGAGATCTGAGAGGCTGTGGAAGAAGAGGGTACAGTAGCACAACCAGGCCAAGCAACTGCCCCTCCTTGCATTCTGCTTTTAAATCCTCAGCATGAAAAAGCAGTTCCTACGAGAAAAATCAGATAATCCATACAAAGCTGGTTGTTATTACCAGGTAACCATCACTTTTGTCAGCTAATGGCCCAAGGTGAAGGAAAAAACAGTTAATGCTCTAATAACAGGTTGTTAAATGCAGCCATGATTGACTTTGAGGGAATTATGAGCATAATAAAAGCTTCAAGGAACATTTATTCCTTCACACAGGGAGCTTAAAATTAAAAAGAAGAAAAAAGTTCTTGAGTTTTGGAAATTTCTGACTTGCTTCCTTTCAGCAGAAAAGCTCAAGTAAAAGATAGGCTAGAAGACATTCTGACAGGCTAAGGGGGAAGACAGATGCGGCTGTGAGCACCATGAGGGGCAAAACCAATGAGGTACATCTGAACACAGATGGAGCTCTCTGCCCAGGAGATCTAGTAGTCTGAGAGCAGGACAAAGAACTAGGATCTTCCAGGTCTCATTCTGTGTTCTGCACCTTCTGCTCTCTCCGGCGGCTGGGAGACAGCCAGCTGAGGGCTCTATATTTGCGTCTGCTCATGTCCCAAGTGGAGAGAAATTGCATTGATATACTAAACAGGAGGGAAAAGTCAGGGATGCATGTCAAACACATGAAATACAAGAAGTAGCACATTGGTCCTCAGTACATTCATATCCCAGGAAGTACACTCAGCATAATGCTTTTGTTTTATTTAATAAGCACTGCAAACTCCCAAATCCTGAATAACTGACTCAAAATTTAGTAGATTAATATAAACCTCTTGGTATTAGAAGCATATTGAAAACATACATTTGGACTTTGTTTCACTTGCTGTTTGGTCTCTGACCCTTTCAGAAAACCTGAGAAACATTTTCAAACTTTCCTCTGTATCTGTCAGGACTGCAAATATACTTGTGTTAAAGAAACTTTCCTTCCTCTTCATTCAATAAAGTTTACTTAACAAGACAGAAGAGTGTCTAAAAGTCCAAGCCTTTGGAAGAGCGTGATCTGCACATGTAGGTGGGTTTGCATGTATTCTTAGGCCCAACTGAAGTCACAGGGATTTTCAGTGAGGTTAGGTTTTTTACCCAAGGAATGTAGCAACTAGGAGTACTTACAGACCACATGCAGGAAAAGGACAGCAGTGTCAGAGCCCAGGCTGTTCTCTGCATATGCCGTCACCTGAAAGATTCCAGCACTCTTATACACATGCCGGATGCCATCCTCAACAGGGCTGAAATTAGCATAGGATACTGCAATGCCGTCTCCAAAATCAAGCTGAATGTTTGTCCTCTGGAGATCGCCCTGCAACAGAGAAGGCTGGATTAGGAATCTGGGCTGATAAGAATGATTTATATTACCCTCCATCCCACTTCTCAGTTCCATGTTATTGGCATGCACATAAACTCATAACTTTACCAAAAAAGCTAGCTTTGTTCTGCCAGTCCCCAAAGGGGCCAGATTCAAATTAACACCAGGTAATTATATACTAGCAATGTTTAGAATAGCCAAACATTTATACCAGTAAAGAGATGTTATTCCCCGATATTGGGTTTAGAGATTTTGGGAGGGCAGAGTGCCAAACATGCATACATCAAGGGGACCATAGTTGAATCATCTAATGCAATGCATGGTTGGGGATTATGTGTCACTGAAGTGGCCACGGCTTTGCACAGCCTTTCATTGAATGGGTGGTGTCCAACAAGTACTTCCATCAGAGGCAGTGAGATGGGAGGCACTACACTGATGGTAGGCTAGATTCTAATCAGAGAGCAGTTCCCAGGTGCACATGGGAGCATCAGGAACACTCTGGAGAGAGGACAATGGTTGAAGTGGCTCTCCAAGATGTTCCAAAGAAACACAACCTAGTGACTGAGATGCTGTAAGTCTAGTCTAAGCTAGTTTTCCAGACTAACTGTATAGTTAGTGAAAGAGAGAGAAAGACAGACAGCAAGACACCAAGACATCCCATCCTAAAATAATGGAGAGAGGTGACGTAAATCATCTTCTGCAAATATCCATCCCTGTACCCTGATGATAGAAAGTCTAGATGAATAGTTTCAGCTAGACATGTAACTTCAGGATGGCTGAATTTATACAGGTTGAGTCCCACACTGAGGACTGACAGTTTTTGTCTAATGTCAGTCAACACAGAGACACGGACTGGATACACAGGAGAATGAAGTAGCTGACGAGAAAATCCCTTCTAGGATTACTGTCAACGACAGCTATTAAACGAAGGAGGGAACAACAGTCAAGAGATTCCAGCATTGCAGGTATTGTCTAGAGACAGCAGCTGCACTGTTTTAATTTAAATCATGCTTTAAACCACTATAGTTGAACTGTAGAAATGTCTGTTATTTCAGTTTCTTGCAGCCTTACTTTATACTTGTCCCCAGCTGAATAAAAGTACCACAAAACAAGGCTAATTTAAACAGAGCTAAGGCCCTCTGCAGTGATTTCACTAAACTGAAATAAAACTACACTGCAGATCAAATCTCTGTAGCTTTCTGCATATATATAAGATGTGTTGGCCCAAGCCATTTCCTTTCGTGAAAGGTTTCCACTGTATTCACTATGTTTGAAGAAGATAGCACTACCTTTTGGAGGTGCTCCTAGCCCAAAACTGAAAATAATCCCCAGATATATTGATGATAAGAGTGAGATTCCAAAGTAAAAAAAAAAAAAAAAAAAAAAAATTAAAAAAAATCCTGCTCCTAAATTTAACTGTTTGTTTCTAAACAGGAAATTCAGAAATATTTCATGGCCATCTCACAAACCCATTATTGCTGTAAGTGCACAGGGTCAGGATCAAAGCTAGTGTTCAGTTCCAGTACATTCTGATCTAAGGGAGGGAAGCAACCATGTAACTCACAGCCAGTTGTGATGTACTTCCAATCCCTTCACAGCCAACTCGAATACTGCAGGGTCCTAACTCCACTGGGCTCACTGGAAAAGACCACTGAACTCACAGATTTCACTAAAGCCTCTGGGCCAGGTATCGCATAAAACAAACCATGACTTCCTAGAAAAACTATGCAAATCCAAAAAAGAGAAAAGATTGCTTGGGACAACCACATGTGTCACAGTCGCTAAAAGTTTTAGAGCTGAGAGCACCAGCTTTCCTTTGAGCAGTAGTTTTCAAGTTTACCTGTGTGCGGCAAAACACATGGCTTGCAGCCTAAATTCTGACTATGAACTTCACATCCGTAAGTGATATTTCATATGGTCTGAACACAAAAGGCTCCTGAAGAGACAGAAATATTCATGAAAGGCAAGGGGTCCCAGTTTTTGCCTCCCACTGACTCCAAACTCATGGGAGCTGCTGTCTTAACTGGCAGTTGCCATCAGCCTATGTAAGTGGCAATGGCAGCACTGACGCAGGCAGGATGCTGATGTTCTACTACTGGTCCCAGTCCTGAAAGTGCACCTGATCTCATCCTTTGGATGGAAATCTGGGAGCACAGACAAGAAGCCAGACTACAGTGAAGCAGGTCCCCTGTGTGGATAAGGACCGCAGCATGCCCCACGGACTTTATCTTCCTCATAGGCCATGCCTGCATTAACAAATCAGTGCGTAGAAAGTGTATTTTTCAGATGTGAATTTGCCTTGAGTGTATACTTGGAGTCTTCAGGTACATGCCCATATAATCAGGGTTATTACATGTAGTTTTTGAAATATGGATATTTGGTTATATACATTAGAACTCTCTCCTTCCTTGCTCCATCATTCCTATTCCACAGGAGCCAGGGGAGTTTTGTCTATTGATGTTATCAGGGCACAATTTTCACCTCTGTCCTACTAGGACATTAAAAATACTGTATAAACCAAAAAGAAAACATAGAGGACTAGAGTGGTAGTGACACTAAAACCTATGTATAATATTGAGTAGCCAATAACATCCTTTTGACAGAGGTTTTTTTAAGTCACTCTAAAAAATTCTCTAGCGGGGCAAAATTACACTTTTGGGATATGCAGTTATTTGATAGAAAGGCTCCCACAGCTTGTTAAACCTTTCAAAACCACTTCTCAAGGGAATGCACTAAGAGCACAAGTTCATCTCATATGGAAGACCCTGAACAGAAGATAAAAATTTGATCTGGGCTGGATTCATCACTGGTGACCTCAGGCTGAAATCTCTTGCACTCATCACGGCAGTTCCTCTCTCATGCCTTACAATTCTCTTTTCTATTTCCTCCTTGCTTCTCCAATATGATTCTATCTGAAATGAGAAGGTTTGAAGTGGAGAAGCAGGAATAGATTTTTCGTGACTAAACAGTAGCAGATGATCTTTCCACTCAATTATGAGAGTTGGGTCTTCAATGCAAAGCCTCCCCATCACACTAATCATGTTTGCTTTCTCTTTTCCATACCTCTGTATCCAGTATATAAAATATTAAAACAAGTGTGCTATCCCCACAGATGATATCAAATATTCTGGATTTTATGAATATAAATTAAAATAGAAATAAAGTGGAGGCATTTCAAATGGAAAAAAAAAAAAATCATTGCTCTCCATATATATTCAAAAGGCACATTTTATTGCTTTAAGGCCCGTAAACTACCAAAACGGAATGAGCTAGGGGCTGTCGCAAAGACTGGAGGTCTGCATACTGAAATCAGTGAGCAGGCAAAGGGTAGTGGAACAGGTGGAGAGGAGTATTGCCATGGAACAGCCCTTCAAACTCATCTCCCCATCAAGACTGGCCTGGGAAAGTTTTCCTGCCTGGAAGCCGCACTAGCAAAGTGACAAAAACTGTAGAGACAGAATAGTGGTTGAAATTTTGGCCTTCTGCAGGTAGGAGCTGTCATGGTTTAACCCAGCAGGCAGCTAAAACAACCACACAGTCATGTGCTCACTTTCCTTCTCACCAGTGGGATGGGGGAGAGAACTGCAAACTAAAAAAAAAAAAAAGGTTAAACTTGTGGGCTGAGAAAAAGATGGTTTAATAGGACAGAAAGGGAAGACAAAGGCTCACCAACTGAAGCCAATACTCAGCTAGTTCTCGAGCTGACCTGCCTCCTGGCCCACTCCCCAGTTATATATGGAGCATGACATCATATGGTATGGAATATCCCTTTAGCCAGTTTGGGTCAGCTGTCCTGGCTGTGTTCCCTCCCGCCTTCTTGGGCATGCCCCACCTTCTTGTTGGCAGGGCAGTATGAGAAGCTGGAAAGTCCTTGGCTGCTTAGCAACAACTAAAAACATCCCTGTGTTATCAACATTATTCTCATACTAAATCCAAAGCACAGCACTATACCAGCTACTAGAAAGAAAATTAACTCTGTCTTGGCTGACACCAGGACAAGAGCCAAACTCCCACTGATTTCAGGAGGGCTATCTTTTATCCAGTGTATGCTTGGGGCAGGGGGGGAGTGGAGTGTATACACATGATGTATTTGGTTCTTCCAATGCAGCTCTCAAATTGTTTGCATAAAAATGTAACATGGATGTGGTGCTCTCTTTCTATAAACACAGTTTAGCAATCTTCCAACAGATGTGCAGAGCTCAGGCTTGTTCTTTGAATAGTCACTGCTTACCTTCTCAGCTACTTGCAATTACAACCCTGTTATAAAGCTTTGCCATCACCTTGTAATTACTGAAAGAGGGAAGCTGGGTGATGGTATTAACAGAAGACGAGGGAACAGAACAATTCAGTAACTGGAGCTACCACATAAACAAACATTCAGGCCTGAGGGGGGTTTATGTATCCTTCAGAGGCGAGCTGGGGATGCATGAAAAAGATCAGGTGCAAGAACAGATTCATAGATCTAGTCAAGACCACAACTCCATACAACAGCAATTTGGCAGTCTTATTTGTGCTCAAACTCAAACTTGGATTTAAAAAAAAGGTTCTTATCTCCTCACATTCCCTTACACGTATACACACTCCAAATCACAGTCCAGCCCCGTATTTCTAAAACACCCAGCAAAATCATCTGTCACTCTGCATTTCTTTGTCTGTTGTCGTTGCCATGCACACATTCTGAATTACCACTGTGAACAATATCACTAAAGCTAAATCTATAAATCTTGAGAAATGTAGTTTTCAATTAACTATGATAAACTCTTACTTTACCATTGGACAGCATAAAGATCAGTCACATCAATACATTGAGGGTGTGTACTAGCAGGTAGAAAGGAACTGATGGCTAATCATGAAGTTGCTGATCAGGGTTAGTCTGAAACAGTGGGAAGGCCAAAAGGAGGCCACACAGACATATGCGTAAGAGGGCTTGTCAGAGTGCTGTTTGGCTCAGAAAGTAAGCGTAGACATAGGTGTAAAATCACCCACCAGGAAACAGACTGACCAGAGAAGGTGGAAAGAGGCAAGAATGAATCTGTATGACCCCAAGGTATGTAATAATTAAGACTACTACAGAAATTATTTCTTCCAACTAACAAGGAATACTTTGATGACAATTTATTTGTCTCAGGTTCACACTGAAAGACTGGAATTCTTTTGCCCAGAATCTCAGTGTTCTTTTTTTCTTTTTTTCCTTTTAAAATGTCTGTTCTTTTAAGAAACAAACTCAGCACACAACTCTCTGTGGAATAAGCTGATCACCCACAAAGATATGTTCTTGAAAATCCTCTTCCCTTAGAAAAAAATTGTTTCAATGAAATGTTTTTCTAACTATCCTTATTTTTCAACAAAGGACATAGAGTGAACGCCCTCACATATTTATTCGGTTGCCTCTTCAATCTCTAAAGCCTTATAAAGACTCCACTCTTCAGCTACCTTGACTGCTGCCTTATTCCCCATCTGTTTATCATTCTTTGTATGCAGCAGTTCTGCTTGAGTTCCTTAATAAATTACTACTAGATTCCTAATTTTTAGATTATGTCTGTTCTTTTCTGAACTCCCACTCACAGTGTCTATACAAATTGTCTTACCGTGTCAAGTCTGCAGAATATAAAAGAATCAGCCAGGTAGACAAGAACTCCCCTTTGTATAAAAGCAGAGCATGCATGAACCTCTGAGGAAGTATGTAAAGAAGCCCTATCAGATTAGCATGGTCCCCATAAAACATTTAGTTACTGTATAAGAATTTAAATGAATACAAGTGTGTGTGTTTAAAAAAAAACCCACAACGTATCATGAGAAAAAACTTCTCCATGGCAGTATGCTCAGGTTTACAACAGCTTCTTGTATTCTTGAAGGTCTAAGTTGCCACTGGAGGCTACTTCTGGGACAGGGAGGGGAAGAGACAGTGTGCTTGCACTGTTTCTAGTATGATTTCCTCAGAGACCTACTGCTGCTTGTTGTCAGAGGCAGGATACTTAGGGGACAGGCATCTGGTCTGTCCTGGTGTTGTTATGCTTATGTTAATGACCGTGACACGTCTGGCTCCCAGCTGTCTCCAGGTACTGTCCCTAAATGAAGTACACAGGACAGAGTAGATGACAAAACGTACTTGTGGTTCTCCAACCACCTCACTCCCTGCCTGCCCCTCCTGAGACACCCAAAGATATTAGAAGTAAGGTTGTGAGTTGACCTTTCTGTTTAACCAGAAAACAGATGTAACACTAGCCATTGTGGGAAAATCACTGTTGGACCTCCTATGACACCTTCCACGGGCAGTCAGAAGCCAGCAGGGGAATGTAGCAGCTGTGAACACAGCAGGGCTTTTTGTAGTGTAGTCACACATATCCCTAAATGCCAAACCAAATCACAGACCAGAAGAGGCATAAGATCATTTGAAAAACCCTCCTGTCAGCCTGAATACATACCTTAGCTATCCAACCCTCCACTGAGCCACAAGCCTTGCTGACACAAGCTGCACCATACACGTTTGACAAACAGAGGGGTACCTGACTGAGAGAGATCACCAGAAGTGCCTCAATGTTTTGATGCTTCAGGCCCCAGCATGGCTTGCTATCACTTATGATAGTTGGCTACAGAGGGAATTGTACCACATTATAAATAAAACGGATATGGGCAGAGGAGCTCAGAGGTGGTTTAAGGAGGCTCAATTCGTACTGCAAAACAATAATGTCCCTCACTGCTCACCATGAGTCTGAAAATGTTCCCCACCGTTCTTAACCTTTCCCAGCAAAGCTTCAGCTAAAGCTTTTCATCCCAGAAACAGAATTATTAAGCACAGAGACACCATTTCTGCCTCACAAACTCCATAAACTGCAGTTCACTGGAGGCAGCAAGAAGCTAGTGGGGAAATCTATTTTTGACCAGATCTATCTTTCTTTAGCATTGGCTCCGCCATCACTGGTAGACAAGATAACCAGCCAAATACTCCTTTGGTTTGACCCAAATACGATTGGTTTGTAGGTTTCACATATAGTCCGCTTTCATGAATTCTCCTAAATCTCAGGAGTGTTCATCATTTCATGACCCCACCTGATCGCTGTTTTCCTCTCAGCAGCCTGACAGATGAAGGAAAAGAGTGCCAGTCCTGCCACACAGTGAAAGGTTTGCTGAGCCCACTAACAAACCTCTTCCATAAGGATGATGAAGGTGGCATTGTGTCCCTGCTCCGTGACCAGTTTTCCATCAGTAGTGAGGATGTGCAGTCCCCGAGGTGCTTTTCCAGGGCATTTCTCCATCTTGGCCATGTACTTCTCTCGCAAGCCATCTGTGCAGTTGTTAGACACAATCCTTCGGTACCTGGGGAACAGTAACAAAAAGGACTTTGGACTCAGGCAGTGGGTGGAAAAGTTGCTTTGTTTTGGTTTTGTTTCTCCATATTAATGCACGTGTTTTTTCAAAGGCTAACTGCCTGCATGATTCCCTCACTGAAAGGAAGAATCAAAGAAATCTAACACTTTATTAAACTGGAGAAAGCCAAATAAATCACAAATCCAACCTTCTCCAGAGATTCTCAGCAGCCTCGCACATTGAGGAGGTGAATTATTCTGCCCTGCTAAAAGGCAGAGAACTCCCCCAACTCTCCATGCCTGCAGGATTGCCCCCTGCATCCCAGCTTTTTATTTATGCTTTTTATTACATTTTGTCTGCCTGTGCTCTGCTAGAAGGCACTTGGAATGATCCTTCAAGAGCTTTGTTCAGTCCAATTTTAAAATGATTCAAGGGTTTTTCTCTTGGCTCTTCTTGGAAGAAGTTAGCTAACTAGCAAGACACTTGGATATTCTCAGTGTTTTTGAGGGGGATTAACCCCTTCTAGTAATTTCACAGTAAAAATACAGGATTGTTGAAGAAGACACAGACCCCAACTATCTTCCTCTTGCGCTCTGTCAAGAGGGCTACAAGCAGTCATACTGGCCAGGGGTCCTGTAATTACATCCCGTATTTATAGCAACCTTCCAATGAAAGGAGGTCACTGAAGTTGTGACTTCAGACTCCCAGCAGCCTCATTTTGTTCAGCCATCCACATCAACCAGCCATGAACTACCCTATCATAACAGCCAAGGATGCAAGACCCATGACTCAGAGGCAGCCCTGCAAAGTCTCCAGGGCCTGCACTGCCTGAGAAGGAACATCGCAATTTTGCACCAGCCAGTGCAACCAGAGTTTCAGAGTATCCCCCGCATGATAGAATAGCATTTGCAAAGCAATACTACCATAATAAACCAACACTTGCCATCTGTTCTGGGTAAAACCAAGAGAAACCAGCACATGTAGCTTGTCTGAAATCTCAAGGCATTGCATATACAAAGTGAAAATGGCAGAGGAAAAAAAAAAGAGGCTAAAAATTGCTCATTTGAGCCTCCCCAGAAGCTGTTACAAATAGGAGTTCTAAGATAGGAAGAGGTTCAATGAGAAATGATGTGAAATACCTTGAACCTGTCCTTTTAAATGTTCAGCTGTCTCTCAGATAGACCTTCCTGTTTTGTGTTTTAATTTTGCAGCAAAGGGGAGCTCCAAGTCTAGGCTCCAGGGATCATACATCACCTGATAGCAATACAATATCTACATGTCACTTATGTTAATGCGCTTCTCCCTGCCTCTGAGGAATGAGGCAATGTTCCATACAGATGCTGCTGCAAACATTACCTCATGAATAAGACTGGAAAAGAGCCAGGCGGGATGCAGAGGAAAAAAGAACCATTCAGGTTCTCTTGTCTACTGCAAGGTCACCAAAACCAGAGAGATTGGAAGGTTCACTTACCCACTGCTGTTCAAGTAGCTCTGACCAATGCTGCAGTCCTTGGACAGGGAGGACGGGCTGAACCAGAAGGCTGGGACACACTGGTTGTTGCTGTGCCTCTCATACCCATAGTCACTACGGAGACAAGTCATGAGTGCATCACTGTACACATTCATTAGATTTAGCTCAGAGTTTTAGGTGATGTTTTTGTTTCCCAAAGTATGTGTGTGTTGGTGGCTCTCTGCTGGATGGCACGGCATCATGGATTGGGCTCATCCAGAGACAAAGTGCTTGATTAGTTTGAGAAGCAGGAACACAGTTCACAGAAGGTATGTGATACCTGACAACACCAGAACTACCAACCTTGCAGAGTAATGGAGGACTTGTGTTTCATTTGCTAACTAAACACAGGCAGAGATTCAGAAAGAAAATTGTATGGTTAATTTCTTTTCCTATTAATCTCTAATAATTTCACTTGTGGGTTCTTTTGGTTTGCTTGCTTTTTGTGTTCTTTGCTTTCAGAATGAACCAGCCTAATTCCAAGATTTAATGCTTCTTTTTCCCAATGAAGCAGTTAGGAATATAAAACACTAAGAGTACTTCCAGAACAACTAGCCAAGGTATGTATATTTACATATGTTAATGGCCTCCCTGCTCTTTGACTGAGCTATGACTGGCCTGAAAAAAAGAAAAAAGGTTGATGTTTTTCCAACACTAAACTAAAGCAACACAGCCAACTTGGTAGTCTAAGGATTACATGGTATTGTGTCACATTGGGGAAGGCAATCCAGGGTACAGATGTTTCTCTGGACCACCAAAGAGTGGAAGTGTACACAATCACATCCAAGACTTCTTTTTACAGCTGCCTTTGCATGCCAATACAATGAGCAAGCAATAGGATTAATCCAAAGCTTTCCAGAAGTTTTAATAGTCTCTGCATCAGGTTTCTATGCATAGCCTTTATTGGCAGGCTGGATTCAAGGGGCAAATAAGAGATTCTGGATTTTTGCCTGAAGCAGGTTGTAAAATGCCAACAAACTAAACCTCTGTGGAAACAGACACTACAGAAGCTGCTGCCTTGAAAGCTCTCTGTGCCCTTTAGGACACTCCTGAGTTTTATCCTTCCCCTATTCAGAGTCTGAATTGCCAACAGAAAGTCTCTAGGAAGAGCTTTGGTGAGACAAAACTGTGCTATGTCCCCAGGCTGCTACCATTTCTTTTTTGGAGGGCAAAAATTCTGCAAGCTACTTTAAAAGGCTTGGAGATTCCCTAATGCTCTTTCTCTCAATATTCAATTTAATCATTCTCAGAGGGTCCGACCTGCACAGTCAAAAATGCCTGGCAGTGACTTGGTAATTAAAAATATTCAGGAGGAGCTGTACTTTGCCCCAAAGAAGAAAAGAGCTGCATAAATATTTAATAAAATTAAAGACAACATTGCTGTATGCCCTCAAGGTTCTGTGCTTGTTCATTAACTTCTGGTAAATGTATATTAAAGCCTCACATGCTGCCCACCTTCCTTCTCATAAGCCCCAGGGTTTGCATAAGTTAAGGAAATAATCAAGTCCAGCTGCTGTGCTGTCTTTCTCAGGAAAGCTATCTTGACAGAGTAAATAAAGAAGCAGAAGAAGGGAAAAGAAATATCAGCAAGCATTTTAATAACACTTCTGAGTTCCTTCTGCTATTGTCTCTGTTAGAAAAAGGCCAGGGTTTGCTTTTGGAAATGACTGCGAGGGTTGGCAGGAGTCACCCCTGATCCTGACTCATAAGGATTTGTTGCAGTGGGGCCCTGGACCATGGTTTATGCCCCTGAAATTCAGATCAGCCTTATATCTAACAGCAGGAAACTGAGAGCACTGGAACACGAGGCAGAAAGGGGTAAGGGCGCTGTGACCAAATGGAAGGGAGCACGGCCCTCACAGCTTGTGCTGTAGGGCTCCTGCTGTCACTTGTCCCGTCTGTACAGCTCTTGAAGGCAGGCATCATCACACCTAGTAGCACAGGATGCTCTGTCACCAGAACCAGCCTCCAAACCTACTTACTAGGGAAGCAGGGGGCCTGTCTGTTGGGATCTGCTGGTCAGTGCACTCACACAATCTCAACTGCTAACCCTCCTCCTTTCCCTGACTCTCCACAGGATCTGCTTAGTTCACACACACGAGATGGGCCAGTCAGTGCTTCCAAGAACTGGCAATTGTGAACCAAGCCAGAAAGGCTGAGTGGACATCTTTCCTTTCCAAAAACACCAAGGCAAAGAGTAGGAGATGTCCTTCCAACTGTAGATACCTACAGTGAGGATGTATCTCCATGAGCTCCCTGCCTAGAGCCTTCTTCCAGTCAGCAGAGAGAAAAGGCACTTCTCATCACCTCCCCTTCCCATACTGACATCCAAAAGAAAGCAAATGAATCATATGCTAATATAACCTATATCTTGCCAATAACCATCTCATCCTTTAGAAGTCACAAGTCACAGCAGATTAGTCCACCCTTCCTCTCTGAAAATCACTTTTAAGATAATCAAGCTTGGCGCTCCATTTCCAGCACTACTACTGTTTTCTTCAAACTGATTGCCCCATACCTTCTTCCAGTGAGCCCTGCAGACGAGCATCAAAACTCACCCTTAAGCTGGTTCTTCTGATTCTCCATCACCAGCTATAATAATTTTGCAACTGGAAGCCAGTTAACAATTCTGTTGGGAGCAGAGTCTAAAACAAAAGCCAGTTTGCTGTTCTCTAATTGCATTTCCTCTGCAGGACTGACAAGGTTAACAGCAATATTCTCTCATGTTAGTGAGAAAGTTGAACAAAAGTGATACTGAACACATGCAAGGAACATGTCAATTGATTGAAAAGGTGCATTCTGATGCAGACCCTTTTCAAGGCAGAACAGCACTTAAGGCCAATTTAGCTACTACAGTTTTCCACTTAAAGCTTAGAATAGACAAGTTTCACTGTGAAAACAGAAAGCTGGTGAGGCACAAAGCCAGAGGAAAAAAAAAAAAAAAAGAAGAAGAAGAAAAAAGAGCAAATTCATAAGCATCTCTGGAGATTGGTGCTTGGTTCAGCTCGGAGACATATGCCAATGCCAAGGGCAGATACTGCAGGGCGAGATAGTTTGTTCATCCTGCAAGTTCTCATGACAAGAACAAAGGGGAAAGATCTCCTGAGTCAAACTAAGGAGTCTCAGATGTACTTTTGGCATTAGGAACAAATTAAACATCCATCCAGATAAGATGAAATCTCTGCTCTACATCCCTAAACCTCTTTTAGAGCCAAACTACTCCGATATTCAAGAAAACACTTTGGTCTGTATTTTTCATTCATTTTTGCCACATTTCAGTGTGTCCATGTTCTAAAAAGAACTGTGAGTCTCAGCTGGCCTAAGTCCAAATAAGTGTGCAGATCTCACGCCTCACACCCCTTCAGGAAGGATTCGATGGTAAGTGAAGTTTTCAGGAATCACATCGATACTGAATCAGACACTGATCTTGATAACCTACTACAAAAATGAAAATGTTTTCTCAGCTGATCTGCTTTCAGGGTATTTTGAACTCCATTTAAATGACATTCTGATCATTTAAGCTCAAATATCACATCTATTGACAGTTTTAAATCCTTAAAATATTGCCTACGGCAGGTTCCCCAGAGGAATTCCTTGTGCAGAGACCCTGACTGTTACACATTCTCCCATCTCCTATCCTTGACTGTCAAGCATTATTAAGCAGTGGTTCATTTTTTCCCTGTTTTATTTCTAAGCTGCTTTCAAAGTAGCCTTAAAGCAGTTTGGAAATTATGGCCCCATTAAGTTAGAAACACCAATATTTGCACAAAACAAGTAGCTACATCTGACAAGGGTGGGCTGTATGGCCACGTCACTGAAGCCCTTTCAGAAATTTTTCAGTAAAACATTGTTGAAAAGTAACAAATGGTTCCCAGGAATTCAAAGGAATAACGATAAAAATATGCCTGTTTTGCTAGCTTGCTCCCTAGGTATTCAATCACCTTGGAAGTGAGCACAGAAAATTCCCTCTTTCCCATGTGAGGGACATGCTTTGAACCAGAGAAGAGTCCTGGCTGACACTTTTCTAGAATGATGGACAAAAAATGTCAATCAGTACTTGGAGTGTTCTGCTTTTGATTTCCAGACTTGGATTTCTTATGAAGATTAGCCAATCTCTCCCACAGATGAAGGGGACACCTCCCTCACACCACAGATGTGGGGGATCGCATCTATGCTATATGATGCGATCATAGCCACAAAGCTGCAGGAGAATCAGTTTCTCTGCAAGGTTTTCTGTCTGGGCAGTAGCTTGGCCACTGCCAATGCTACAAGAGCAGTTTCTGCAAAAGTCTCAAGTCACATACTCACCACTCAAAGTCCCCTTGACCACAGACACATGGTTCAGACACCACAGTTTGGGAATAGTCCCGACCTAGGGAACACTGGGCTCCAGGCTTGCGTTTTTTATAGATCTTCCTCTCTCCCATGACACAAGGCTCCCCCTTCAGCAGCCAAGGAGCAAAAGGAGAAAGAAAAACAGACAGTTAGTTGTAGTGGCAGCTGGGCCCTAGATGGAACGTTTTGCCAAAAGACACAAAAGGCAATGAAAGCATGCAGTTACCACTGGGAGAGATGGGAGCTAAGAGTCTAGCTCCCTTTGATGGTTTTACAGACTCCAAAGTCACCTTGGGAGGTCCCATGAGTTGGGTCTCATCAGCATTCAGTTGGGGGGCTAATGACAATGTGCCCAAAGTGCCTGGGTGCCCAAGCCATCACAGGCACCCAGTTATGCCATTTTTCAAAAGGCATTCACCGCTGTGTCTAGTCCTATGATCCTGAAAAGACAATGTGGATGTACTCCAGGGTTTCTTCCATATGTCAGATGAAATCTACTACAGGAAGAAGCGCCCAAGCCTGAAACCCAGGACAGGGACAAAATCTAGAAGAGGAACCCAGGACTCCTGGCGCTCCTCCTCTTTCCTTGATAGACTTGGCTTTGCTATAGACCTCAGATAATTCTGATAGTGTGTTATACTGGGTTTTTTGAACACAGACGTTTCCATGAACACTACTGGGAGTAGCTAATTTAAAAGAAACATTTGACATTTAGGTAAGTTGCTATAAACAGAATTTTCTCTGATGCAGAAATAATTTGTCTGCATAGAAGTAAGAAAAAAAGACAATGCCTAATTGAAATACTTTTCTTTCCCATTAACAGTGATTCCCAAGATGGCTACCTGGTTTCACACATCTTCCCTTTTCTTTCATTTGAATTATTTTAATTTATTCAATTCTATGACTTCAGTTATCCATTACATCCTTGCCAAATTAATGCTCATTTCTAATTCATGGATTTCATTCAGGAATAACACACTGCCAATAGTTCTGGCTCTAGTTATGTTGCCCTGCAGGGAGTGAGACATCATACTGGTAGCCAGTAACCCATAAGTAATCTTCAGAGGGTGTTGAGCTCTCTCTGCTATAGTGGCTTCACGACCTAAATATACCCAGCATGAAAATAAGGCAGAGTGTATGAGAAGCAAAGCATGTATCCTTGAATAAAATGAAATAATTTGGTCTTCTCTGGTGTCTTTTATTCAAGGGCTCCCCAGAGTTTTATAGACACCTGCAGGACCTGCAGCATGAATAAATGTTTTTATTTTCATTTTTGAACAGGGAAAATAGAGGCAAAGCAAAAGAAAATTATTTTCATGAGTCACTGACAGAGCTACAAAGAGTTCAATGTCTCCTACAATTCAATCACAAGGTTAGGTTTTGCGTTGCCCTGAGCACTGAGGGCAAAAAGATCCAGCTGGTGCAATGGAATATTTTCATACAAAGCAAAGTTAACAATCTTCCTAACTTGCCCAGAGAAAACTGGCCCCGTGTTTATTCATGCATATGCTTCAGGAGAAGTAAAGCATCAACAGGTTAGAACTGTGACTTGATGGATGCAAAAAAATCCATATGCTCTGCTGAAAAAAACCACATACATTCCTACCTAGCAACACAGAGTATGGGAAAAGGAGACCCCCTCATTCTCTCCCTGCACAGTGGGAATACCTGATTGTGCAGATGCCAGGTTTGGTAGTCATCTTTGTTACATCTCCGGCTGAACACAGACTTGTAGTCCACCTTGACCAGCTGCCATTCAGAACGGAGACTGAAGTGCCCAAAAACTCTGAGCATGGGAGAGGAAAAAAGAAAGAACAAGAGTCAGCCAGAAATATTCTTCCATTAAGCAAATAATTTCTCATGAATCTCAGCTGCAGAAACCAATACACAGTCTTGGAGCTCAATGCCAGAAAATGCTATTCAGTCATGTTCCTATAACATCCTAGGATTGTTCAGCCTTTGCCTGACCCCTTGTACAGCCTGTGCTGGAAGGTCTTCCATGACTCTAGTACTTAGCACAATGGGCCTCGAATGTAATACAGACAGCTAGGTATCACTCAGAACAATAAACAACGAGACTAAAAAAGTAATGTGTCTAATATAAAGGGAGCTATTCTGATGAATATATGGGTTTGGTTGTCTCAAAATCAAGCCTTTCTTAGCTGACTGTTTCTTTACTGCTGAACTTTCACATTGTACAAACTTACTATTTAATGAATTGTAAAAGAAACACCTGAAATAACATATTTGGGATACGGACTGTAGGCAAATGACCTGCAAAGACAGCAGCCTCCCTTCCACCTGGTGAATGCTGACTGCAGCTAATAGGAATGAAATTATAAGTGGCTGCCACTGTAACGTTACCAGTAGTTTTTTTCTTAATTCTTTTGAGTAGGTCACTCATCATCGGCATTCACTGATCATACTCCAAGGCTCGCCTAGCTAAGTCATACGTTGATTTTCAGGATGAAAATGACACATTTTCCCACGCAATTCCAGGGCAACACAAAGCTTGTACTAAGTAAGGCAGTATACAGAAGCAGTTAGAGCTGAAGGGTCAGCACTCAAAAAATAGTGCGAGAAGGGCTCAGACTGTAATTTAAAACTGAGGCATAGATCTGTTACTAATGTGGTGATGAAAGAGATCATATAAAATTGAATTGCACCAGAGGCTTCTGCCCAAGCTTGCACCAGAACATCATCAGCAGACCTGGCTGTTGAACACAGGTCTTTCTAAATGCCATCCTAACTATATGGCGCTCCTTCATCTGCGCAAGGAAAGCTATCTGCGTGCTTAAGTGTCTGGAAGGGAAGGACCAAAGCAACTATGAGCGCTGATGGTATACACTACCAAAGTACCATCACCACAAATACTAAGGGACTTTACGTGTTGGAAGCTTACACCTTCACCAAAGAAAGCAAAATCATAGCAAAAACATAGTTTAATTAATAAATAACCCCAAGTACCCAGACAAAAGACTCCATCCATCCAGAAACATTGCATGAGTTCTGCAGGGTGTTTAGGTTTTGATCAAGTTTTCTTATATCCTTGGCCAGCTGTGATTTTCTCAGTAAGGAGCAGCTTTTCAATCAGCTGCAGCTGGATTTCCAAAGAAGTGTATAATAGAAGGAGAATAGGGCAGGGACACAGGTGAACAGACTTTAAAAACCATTAACAAATAGCCATTAACAAACACATTCACCACAAAAGGAGGGCTAAATATAATCTCTATCCTTTACTGAACGGGGGGGGGAGGGAGGGGAGACAGAGACAACGAACGAATGAACACACACACGCACACGCACACGCGCGCGCGCGATGAGGAAAAGACTGAGGCACTTAATGCCTTCTTTGTCTCAGTCTTTAGCAGTGAGACCTGTTGTTCTCTGGGTCCCCAGCCCCCTGAGCTGGAAGACAGCGAGTAGAATGAAGCCCCCGTAACCCAAGGGGGAAAGTTTAGCTACCTGCTACACCACTTAGACACACACAAGTCTATGGAGCCAGATGAGATCTACCCAAGGGCACTGAGGGAGCTGGTGGAAGTGCTGACCAAGCCACTTCCCACCATTTATCAGCAGTCCTGGCTAGCCAGGGAAGTCCCAGTTGACTGGAGGTTAACCAATGTGACACCTATCTATAAAAAGGGCCAGAAGGAGGATCCAGGGAACTACAGTCCTGTCAGTTTGACCTCGGTGCCAGGGAAGGTTATGGAGCAGATCATCTTGAGTGCCATCATGCAGCACATACAGGACAACCAGGTGATCAGGCCCAGTCAGCATGGGTTTATGAAAGGCAGGTGCTGCTTGACTAACCTGATCTCCTCCTATGACAACGTGACCCACTTAGTGGATGAGGAAAAGGCTGTGGATGTTGTCTACCTAGACTTTAGTAAAGCCTTTGACACCATTTTCCACAGCATTTCCTGGAGAAACTGGCTGCTCACAGCTTGGACGGGTGTATGCTTCGCTGGGTAAAAAACTAGCTGGATGGCCGGGCCCAAAGAGTTGTGGTGAATCAGTTTAAATCTTCAGCTGGTTGCCAGTCGCAAGTGGTGGTCCCCAGGGCTCAGTACTGGGACCAGTTCTCTTTAATCTCTTTATCAATGATCTGGATGAGGGGATCAAGTGTACCCTCAGTCAGTTGGCAGAAAACACCAAATTGGACAGGAGTGTTGATCTGCTGGAGGGTAGGAAGGGTCTACAGAGGGATCTGGACAGGCTGGATCCATGGACAGAGGCCAATTGTATGAGGTTCAACAAGGCTCAGTGCTGGGTCCTGCACTTGGGTCACAACAACCCCATGCAACACTACAGGCTTAGGGCAG